TCTGATTGGTCAATAAACAATAAACATTCTCAAAGTATTTCGATGCGGTCACGGCTTTTCGATTCGCCACTGTAAGTTTTATGTCATGCATTTTTCAATAGCGTACCTTGTCTTGGGAGGTGGGTTTCCGAAGTTTGTTTTGTTACTAGAAAATGGTGGAGGGGTCGGGCTGCTTGAAGTTGCTGTTGAACGCACAGCTAAAAAAAAAACATAAATCAGCATATCAGAGTATTTGAATATCATATTTTCTACTACAGCCAACAGAATCCTTTTGCAACTATTTTTCAAATGTAGTTAATTGATAATTGTTTAACAAACAAGGAAAGTTGTTGCGTATTTGCTTGTTGTGCCTTCCTCTTTTTTACTTAAACAATTTTTAATAAAGTTATAAGGAAAACTGCAATAATAGCAAGTGTAAAGTTCATGCATGCATCGGATTCTAGTTGTGTATTTTGTATTGTATGGATATTTGTTTATTAATAAAAAGTTTTGTAAAGAAAAAAAAAATTGTACCAAACTTACAAAGGGATGAAAATCAGAATAACAATGACAACGTGAAGAACATTTTGCCTGAAAGTAGCCAAAACTGCTGCAGATTTTTATTGCTGTAGTAAAATCATGCCTTCGTGCTTTTTATCAAAGAGCAACTGATTGCAATATTAAAGATATCAAGAAATTTACTACGTTCTACTAGAATCTGGACTTGAGCTAAGCACCAGTATCGCTCGCAGTTTGACAATCTTGATTTAATTGCATAAATATTAAATGAAACCACTAGTCAAATAGCTGCAGGAGGTATTGCCCTGTTATTCATAATCGGTAAGCAGATTGATATGCTTTCAATAACAAATATMTCTCACCAGGAAAGGACCTCTCTTCTTCTTGCTTAACTGGTCCATTGGATACTGGTTTTGGATCTTCTGTTTTCGCACGTCTACAAAAAAAAGGGAGTGTGTGCATCAATGTAATGTTTTTGTTATCATGGTGTTAAATATCTTTTCAAACATGTAAATATATGCATAAATACATAATATACAGAGGATATTACATGAGCGCGCGGAGATTCGCTACGCTCACTCGTGAGATATCTTTTCAACACTCAAAAATAAAATTCGTTTATCATATAATTAAATATAAAAATACAATTTTTTTTCTATATAGAGGAACCACAAATGTCTTATTTTCACTAGTGAAAATATCATCTTTATGAAATGGAGAAATATAGGCATTTCATAGATAATTGTAATATTATGATAAACAGCAATATGCAGACATTTTGATCTTTAATGCTCTAAAATATATAAGAAATTATGGGATATCATCGCCAATATTTTTTTCAGAAAGTACTAGTACTTTATTCTTGTATAAATTAAAAGAAGGAATAGTTTAAGGAGATTCACTTGTTTTTGATGTGTACATTATGTACCTTGCTGCTAATTTCCTTTGCATTTCAGCCATCATGTCCATACCACCTACGCCGCCAACATTATTGGATCTTGAACCAGATCTCTCTGTTCTCATACCACCGCCATCACTGGGCGCAGAGTCTCCCTACAGTCAGATCATCATTACTTTGTTAACAATCATGACTAAAGATTTTGATTTATCAGCCTTGACATTTATTTTCTTTTTTACACAAAAATGTTATATACTTCCTGCAAACTGTAAAATCCACATTCTATCAATGGGTACAAGAGCTATGTCTTATTTCAACACATTCTCATACCCAGATCTTTACTAGTTTCCCAATAGAAAATCAAAGGCTATGGCTCTGGAGACCAAGTCTCTGATTTGATTGGTTTAAAAATTCCCAGAATCCATCAGCTTGTATATACTGTGCAACCCAAATTCTGAGTCTTCCAGTATCCAACCAGAGACTTTGATTTCGYATTAGGAAACTGAGAGAGATAATACGATGGATATGACACCATTATGATAAAGGTAATTCCTGTAGCTTAAAAGACACAACAAATATATAACAAACAACATACCCTAGATGACTTCCTTAGTTTAGCAGCRGCAATCTGATCAGCTAAAGAACCTCCTCCTCCGCCGCTAGGTGCTGGTGGTGGTGGTGGTGGGGCAGGAGGACCACCAATGCTTGGAGCAGGGGGAGGTTGAGGAGGAGCAGGTGCTGGGGGAGCTGCCGGAGCTGGWGGGGCTGGTGGGGGTGTTGGAGCTGGTGGGGCTGAAGCTGGATAGAAAAAGAAATTAGAATCAAACAATTTAAATATGTACATTTTACACAATTGTGAGAAAAACTACTAGTGCTAACCACTAGCTGACAGACACAGTGCTATCCAGCTAGTTGACATTCAGTGATAACTACATTGTACTTGTACATTGGTAAGTGATACTAGTAAAAAACTGAGATGTTTCACATAAATATGCCAATCAATCTCTTAAATATAATAGATAGAGCAGGTTTTTGAATGCAAAAACAGCAGTGAGGTGAGGGTAAACTGTCACTAAACTTTAAGGTACAAAGTAACAACTTTGAAAATTATTTTAAAAAGATTGAGGTTACATGTAGATTTAAATTTCTAGACTACAGATTAATAACTTCCATTATTTTTGCTAGTGACCAACTCAAGACTCAAGCCATGAAAATTGGTTCCTGACTATTACTACAAGCTTATACATTTAGTTTTGCAAGTTCCTTTATGAATTAACCCAAAATGAAACATAATTCAATATGTAGAAATAACTAACTTAGCTTGTTGTAGCTGCTGCCACAGTATGGACATGTCTCCTTAAAGCTTGGGAAATGTCTAAGTGARCGATTCCAGTAATGATTTGAAGAAGAAGCAAATGTGTTCCTTCTAGATCTAGTATCCAAACTCATAATAATTGAAAGGAATAAATGGAGTTGGCCAAATATGTGCGAGTTCAGAATGTTATTATCATGACTTTTGATTTATGCTAATCCTGTAATTTGATTGGCTAGGAAAATTTGTTATTTTGTAATATAGCATGTTGACATAAAGAACAGTTTCATTTTGAAGGAAGTGTCACAATTGTTTCACTTCGKTGCTGCTGATTCACTATTCAAATGAGCAACATCAACAGTATTTCAATRCTTGATCATGCTCTTGTTGATGTTCCTGTTTTGCTTTTATGTGAAGATTTGCACTTTCTTTGTCATATTTTTGCTATGAACTKCAGTGCTGCAAATCTGGAGATTTGAGTAGTGCACTGTACCATTACTACATSTAATRGGAGATTGGTTTCATCCCGTAAGGATTCCTGTGCTTTAAGACACTTGAATTTGAATTACATTGAAAGTGTATCTTGGGAAAATGTTTTGATTGAATGCTTAGGAAGTCAAGTTTGATGAATATTCAGGAAATTTGTGTCATCATCTGGAGACCTTGAGATAAGACACAAAATCTTGAGACTCCCAGCTTCAATGGGAGACTTGAGATCTATGCAACTAGCAATCRCCATAACAGACAATGAACTAAATTCCTACATCATACCATTTTAGTTCTAATCAATATGTCTAGACTTATGGATTGTGAGGCAACAATCTCCTTAAACATAAGTGAATTTGCATACTTCTTTGTTTGAACTCTTTACTTCTATACTGCTACAYGTAAGTCCCATACTAACAAAGCTTGTTTACAACCTTTTAGTCAAAATAATTGACTGAACACTGTCATTGACATAATGGGAAATATGTTGACCTTCATGATTGGCAGATTTTTAAAAGACATTATATTTCTTTGACATATTTTTCCTCAGTAAGACCTTGTCTATCATGATAATGAATATCAATACTTTAGAGTATATAGCAAATGAAATTCACTTACTTTGTACAGGAGCAGGTTGTGTTACTGAGGAGGCTACTGAAAGTTGACTTGACTGTGAACAAAAATAAAATACATATCAGAAATTATAATTTCATGAAAACAAAACATGAAGAGACCAGTAGTTCAAAATATGTCATTTAAATCAATTCAGATAGTCAAACATCATATTTTTTTTAAACCCATGAACAATACAGAAAGCAATCCACAATAAAAACATCTTAATCATAAAAATATGGTTCATATACAGTCATCCCATCAAAGTTTTTTATTTGTAAAGTCATTTGCGTATATCCTATTTGTATTTTTTTTTCAAGATTATTCAACCTAAAGGTTCCAAAATTGTAAGACAAATGTCATTAACAATCATGATCAAAGGGTTTTAATCAAAATTCTTTGTGTGGATTGAAAAAACATTTTATGCAAAAGAGGTTGATGTCTCATGTCTTTACAAATGAACAACGTTAATGACAATTGACTCAATAATCCTTGTGAATTTGCAGTAATTATTGAAGACAACATTATATTTTGTCTAAATCAAGCTGGCATTATCATATTAGTTATGCCAGCAAGAATGTAAACCCTTAAATAAAATTAGTAGATTAAATGACAGCCATGTATAAAATAAATTATATTCTTTATATTAAAATGAAAGTGTGTTCTGTTCATTTTTTGTAGAACAATACAATCCTACTTCCAAGTTAAACATATCATTACTTGACAATTATATGTATTGTTTTGAAACAGCAGTGGTAAAAATACATCATGTATATATATAAATAGAGAAAACTTTTTAACCTACTGGTATTTTGGTCAGTATTCAAACTTGAACCAACATTGAAAACTAAATTTGTACGTAATAATAATATTGTTTCTAATCATTTTAACTAGTAAATATTGTAATTGAATAAGAATAGAGGTTTTGCATTAAAGAGCAGGACATTAAGAATCTGTTCAGATTTAAACGAATCATACTACTGTACAGCAGTCAAATAGAAACAAAAGGAAACAATCTCCCAAGCCTACTTTATGTTACTTGACTACTAATCCTTAAAAAAAGTTCATAATCATACTCAACACTTATTGTCGCTAACTTTGCTTCTGTAGTCACACACAAAGGAAACAAAATCCTAGGGTCCTTTCTAGTCTCTAATAATCTATATTCATAAAATAGCTACAAAAGTCTGCCTGCTTAAGATATACCGCTGTATTTATTTCAGTAATAAATACCTCAGATATCTATCATCAAAAACAGCTTATCAATCTCAAGTATATCCAATGGCACTTATTATAATTAACTTGACTCTAAGACTTGGTCAAAGAAAATACCAAATCAAACTACCTTGAGGCAGAGCATCATATCAGTGACTTCTGTTGAAGTTTGTGAAGGATACGAAGCGAACATGATGGCATGAATTGATGGTTTCAATGTTACAGCAAAAGAGTTWAGAAGRCTACTACATGACWGAACATATGGATATGAAGTGGAYATAAAAGGTCATTGTTTGAGGTTAAATAATAAAGACAAGCCTTCATGGCTAACCAAAGGATGCATTCCAGAAATTCCAAAACAATGCCTTGGCATGAATAATTATAAATCTTGTACACTATACAAATAAAAATGGTATATCATTGRTATAAACCAGTTGTATATTTTAATATACAAAAAATAAAAAATTCTTATTCTTAAATGGTTACAATGTGTAAAGCTTTTGTAATACATAATATACAGTAGAATGTCCTAGAATACTCTATTTTCTAGAGTTCCTGTAGTTCACTTCATTACCATAAGTACCCAGCAGTGATGACCACGTAATTTCCTCACTCAMAATTGAACCCTGAGGGTATCATAGATGAACACCTTTGTTCTGTATTAGGGTGTTTCCCTTAGATTTGACCCCACCCATACAAATAATAGAAACTTTTTTTTAAATGCTTATGCCTATTCTTGTAATGACAATTATTAATTACTTTGACC